TATATATAACACTCGAAATTTAAGTGCGGCTGATTTGACCATGGAGATCGGAGTAACGGCTGGCTTGACCGCAGTTATCATATCACAGTCATTATCTCGAGATCACAAATTAATTGTATCGTTATCTCGGGAAAACAAGTTTCGTTATCTCGAGATCTTGAGAAAATTAACTTGTTATCATGAGAAAACGGAGGAAATAAAATGTATGAATGCATGACCCTTTACGGCTTCTGTAAAGAAGTGTCTTATGTCCACTTTTCTTTTTTTAGACATTCGTCGCCAAGTTCTTGCTCATGGTGGTACTGTTTGGTCTCTGCTAATTGTTAAAAGGAGTTCGCGTCTGAGACCTCGGTCATTGAAAAGTGTCCTGGTACCTATCTTTGATGAATTGGCGCGTACTACAATAATTGATTGATTTAATATGCTGTTTCTCGCACTTATATAATGCTGAGAATGTAACAGCTATCTATATAATTTTATTTTAAATGTAGGTTCGAATTATAGCTTACTGTTCTTAATACCTTTATTTTGAAAACCGGAAGTGAATACGTTGTTTCTCCGCAATTACCATAATGCTGAGAATATAACACTTATATATATATATATATATATATATATATATATATATAACACTCGAAATTGTGTGGCTGATTTGACCACGGAGATCGGAGTAACGGCTGGATTGACCGCAGTTAATGAGCCTAGAGGCAGACACACAGGAAGCACAACTGACTGTACTTAACCTAAGGTTTCTCATGAGCACCAGATACTTTCTGGTTCTCACGAGAAAAGTATCTGGTGAGCACGAGATACTTTTCATTTTTATTTTTTTTCCCCATGTCCCTTTAGGGGCTCCGTAGTTTTCCAACCCTTTACAAATATGTAAGCAAACTGTTATCAGACCTGCCTCAGAACATGAAACCTAAGTGATTTATTTATAGCCAACAGTTTTACTGGTGCAGTGATGACACAAAAATACCCAAGCAATCCCTTTAAAACTATGTAAAAGAAGAAAACTTTGTTTGCGTCTCTCCCACAGATCCAAGTCCAGACTTACTTCAGGAGGTTCAGATTCCTGTCATTGGACAAAAGCAGTGCAGTTGCAACTACGTCCCAGTATCAGACGCAAACATCACTGATGAAATGATATGTGCGGGGCAAGAGAACAAAGGAGCATGCCAGGTTAAACTAATTGTTCTTTGTTATACATGCTTCTTGACCAATACCAGCACCATAATGTAAACTTTTATATTTTTGCTATTGAAATGTTATTGTCAGTGATAATATGCCAGGCTAGGCTAGGTAAGGCTACTCCAGTCTTATCTTGTGCATGTTAGCAGCAGTACTATTTACCTATTTGTGTTTTGTCTCTGCTTTTTCAGGGGGACTCAGGTGGACCATTGCAATGCAAACAAGGGGGAGTGTGGATCCAGGCTGGCATTACCAGTTTTGGAATACCTTGTGCCCTGGCTGGTTTCCCTGAGGTCTATGCCCGAGTGTCTCAGTTCCAGAATTGGATCATGGATCAAGTGGTAGGGGCCAGTGTTGGCTTTGTGAAGTTCACCTCCAATGGCGTGGACCAGGACAGCAGCTTTGTGTGTCGCAGTGCAGACAATGTAACCTCTGTAGCCACAGCACTAACCGTTGAGTTTGGGTTTGTTGTCATCTCAGTGACAGTTTTTAACCTTTTTCTTTAAGGAACCCCTTATCTATCATTGAGTATTTGATTTAATATACAATGCATAGGAATAATAGTGCAGAATAACTGATAAACTGAACAATTAACACTTCATTATTAACCCAAATAATTAACGCAAAAACTGCAGGAAGTTTGTATAAAATTAGCAATTTTGAGCAGATTATTTCCTTTGAATATTGCATCAGGGATGAGTTTTCCTCATATTTTTAGAAATGTTTAATACAATCTTCCTGCTGTATGTATAGTTTTCTTTTTTCCCTTTTTGGTTGGTTTAGCAGCATATTAAATGCTGAAATATAGGCCTAAAAGCTGAAGGCCTGAAGCTTTGGCGACCGCTAAGTAGGGTTCGGGACCCCCGGGTGTGCTCTATAGCACAGATTTGCACTAACAACGTCTCTACTTCTTCTATTGTGTTGTGCTATGTCTGTCTTTTGAATCATTTTTAATGTATACAATTATTGCATAATTGTAGCTGAGTTTGTATGATCAAAGTTTTTGCATTGCACTTAATTCTTTCCATCCCACAAACTTAATTTAACACATAGCCGACATCTTCTACCAGCCATTTTTATAGACAATGGTATGGAGAGCAATCATGTTATCAGTTGACCTGCAATGCACTTCAGTGCACAAAAATAAAATGTGGTTTGTTTTGCTTTATTAGTCACAATGTGTTGAAATAAAAGACTGATGATTAGTGTGGTATTTGTAGTATTACTGATAGGTAAAATGACTTGTAATTATGTACAATGGTGAAAAAATATTAAGATTTCAGCATATAAAGAGCATTTAAATAGTCGTCTTACCCACCACAGAGCTTGGTCCAGTTCTGAGTGTTAAATTATGGATAAGTGAATGTGTAATCAGCTTTTTAATGTTGGAGCCGGCCCTTATGGTCACTATTTTAAGACGTGGCATGGTTCAAACCGTAATTATGCGTCATATTTATGTGGTTTTACCATTATATCTCGTGTTATTAAATGATTTGCCAGGTCTTGAAGATGTAAGTAAGCCTCCACATCCTGACAAACTAAGCCAATGACAGGTAATGTGCAAGGTTAGGTTCACAAGCTGTATGATTTTCTTGGAATGTTACAGAATTATATATATTACAATACTGTGAAGTGTTTAATTTACCACCATTGGATGGATAGGCAAAGAACTAATGTAACTAATATCAAGTGTGACTGATTCTGCAGCCTGTGGACTGAAAAGGGGAGAGCTTGGTATTGTGTGTTGGTCTGGAGAGTTTGCAGGTGTGTGTGGGGCTGCATTGTTTGTGGTTGGTTAGGGCTGCGGGTGACAATGAAAACAGAAAATATAGGCTGTTGGCAGGTTCTTGTCTTATGAGGGGAAGTCTGCTGCCTCATATAGTAAGCCTGGGCTGGGGCTATATAGGTCAGTACACATTTTAACTTGTCTGCACACTTGTTTTGTGTATGTGGTACTGTGTGAGTAAGTAAGTAAAGCTTTATCTATAAAGCACCTTTTAAAACACACAATAACAAAGTCTTTCACAAACAAACAAATAAATATTAACACACACAGACATACACAAGTATATGTACATATACACAAACATACACAATCACAATATACATGCAAAGGGAACATATAAATACTAACATATGAAATAATAAAACAAAAAGAAAAGAATAAGGTTAAAAAGAGAGACAACAAAGATAAGTAAAAAAACAAAATTAGAAGATGATTCCACAATGTTAATGGGGCTAAAACAGCAAAGGCACGGTCACAGCAAAGGAGTGGAATGAGGAACAAGGAGATCTAAAATGTAACTGTGGGCAAGTTCATTAAGTGCCTTTTATGTAACCAGGAAGATCTGTAAACGATTTAAGGAACTTTAACTGAAGCACATGTAGAGGGAAATACAGTAATCTAGACTAGAAAAAGAAGGTGTGAATTAATAGTTTGAGATCTCTGAAAGACAAGAAGCATCTTGCCACAACACACTGTGTGTATTGTGATGGGTTTTGCATCTCCAGAAGATTGTAGTGATTTGCGCTGAGGTGTGTTGTGCATTTCAGTAGTGTGGCCAGTTTTGAGGTCCCCAAATGGTTTAACTCTCCTACATTCTAAGGTCTCTGACAATCTTCCCACACAGCTTCTGGTAGCCTATTGGCCGTCTTAGGCACAAGCATAAATGTAATACAATACTACAAAACATTTAGTTCAAGTCAGTTTAGAAAACCAGTGATTATCTAATCATAATTAGGTTTTTTTTTTAGCTTAGAGGCAATATCATTATAATTAAAAACAAGGAAATGTATGCATTGGTTGATTGTGAATATGGCTCAATGAGTATGACACCATGTAGACCGCAATACCACTATAGTGCTCAAGCATTGCTTAAATGATTGGCAAATACATAAGTAAGAGACTGAGCATATGAGCAGATACACATAGCAGAGATATAAACAGAAGTAGCAGAACAATTTGTTGTCATGGCAGCAGGTGAGTGCTTTATAATAATTAAGTATCACGTTGACAAGCAGACGTTTAGTATTGGCATTGTTAGCATGCTCATAGTTAGCATGCTCATGGTTGGCATATTACCTAGGCCCCCAGTATGTGCTGGTTATACATCGTAAGTCCCGCCCAGCTGTCAATCCTGATGTGATTATAGCTATAGGTAGTTATACTAAAACCAGACTTGTCAGAAAAATTAACACTTTTGAAATACTTGGACATGAAAAAATATGTATCATCTTTGGAAAAACATTTTTTGACGTGTGCTTTGATTTTTTGAGTTAGGCCCATGTCCCATCTGCTAACATGGAGGCAGCGGTCTTTATGACTTATACTGCAGTCACCAACCAGGGGGCGGTCGAGATGTTTTGGCGTCACTTTTGGAGAGGTGTCATGTCATCCATCTTCATTTATGTCGATTATGTTGGTTAAAATGTGTGCTCTATCATTAGTTAGCTAATTTAGCTTACGAACTAGGGTTGGACAAGATGCAGTTAACAGCTATTTCAATCTGGACAATCGCTGCTAGCACAGTTTAACAAAGCAACTCAGGGCAATTGTTTTATTACAGTTTCAAAAACATCTTACTGTAATGTTAGGTGTAATTTTAAAGCTGAGAATGATGCTAATTTCCACCCCTACTTTATTTATAAATGGAACAGCTATCATTAAAATTTTCAAGATGTACCTTGTTTGTTTTAATTTTAACATTCATTACAAAAAAGTACTGATCCCTTATTTATTTTCGTATCTTTCTTTTGCTTGTAATGTTATGCCACAGTAATATTAGACTACAGTGGCCACAGCTTCTTACACTTGCAAGTGACCTTAATGAATTAAACATATAAGAAAGAAGAAATAACTCTAGACTCGAAAAGGAAGCAAAGCCACGTGTTAAGGTAAATACTTTATTCAATGGTACCAGTATAAATCATATACTGGATTTGGTGGAATCAGACCAAGGAAAAAAGTTTTGTAAAAACATTGTGGGAATCTTCACTTGAGAAAGGGTGTTAAAAAATAAAAGGTAAGGGAATGGAGGCAGAACATTTTTTCAGGATCTCCTGGCTGCATCAACAACTCAAGGGAAAGTGTTTTTCCCATCTTTCTCTTGTGCTTTCTTCCAAGATGCTGTAAAAGTGCTGTTAGGTGGTGCCTTTTCCATGGTGACGTAATAATGTTGGGAAGAAGGTGGAAAGGGAATCGGTGAGTGTCCATGCTTAATAAGCGTGGTTAGCCACAAACAGTGACTCTCCACCGGCAGCGCTGCTTCCAGCAGAAACATATTTGCCCTGGCAGGCCAGGTTGTTAGCCTGTAAGAGGCAGAAAGGACAGTGTTATTGAATGCACAATACATTACTGATGTTTGATGCTTGCAATCCATATCGTTCTCTAACACTCTACTGCTGCATCTTTGTGATAACACATCACTACATACTGATGTATTTTCACTTTAGTATATTAACATTGTTTTTATGATCACACGTACCAGAGCTCTCTTGATGAACTCTTCCTGGCATGCCTTTCCATTCTCCTTCTTGCCACCCCAGGCTTTGAGGGCAGAGGCCTGCAGGGCACGACCGTATGAGAAGGTCAGGGCCCAGGGCCTGTGCAGAGGGCACTGGTTCATGGCGTTCAGGTTCACGGAGGCCTCCTCCTCACTCTGGCCACCAGACAGGAAGGTAATGCCTTTACAGGAAGGGTATGAGAGTTTAGTGATTCACGTCTTCAGACATTTAAGTGAATGTCATGCAGACAGTTCAATCAAGAATTCAGTGTTTATGGAAATAAGTCTCCAAAGTTTGCAAATATATGTGCATCCAGCTCACCAGGGACTGCAGGGGGCACAGTGCGGCGCAGGGCAGTAACAGTTGACATGGCGATCTCCTGGTTGCTGTACTTGTGTGAGCAGGAGTGTCCGGCGGTAACCATGTTAGGCTTGAGCAGGGTGCCCTCCAGGTAGACATGGTGGTCGGACAGGGCCTTGTAGACGGCAGCCAGGACCTTCTCAGTAACGTACTGGCAGCGCTTCAGGTCATGGTCACCATCAGGGAGAATCTCAGGCTCGACGATGGGGACAATGCCGTGCTGAGGAAAGTAGAGACAAATGGAGTTAAAGTCACTTTGCATGACAAGTATCAAAAGCAAGGTGATAGTTAAGAGGTGAGAAATATGAACCGCAGTGGGGACATACTGTCTATGTTATGTATGTATTAGTCTCTTATTGTTTTACTGATTCAAAAACTGGGTCCAGATTTGAAAAGATTTTATGTGATGGTTTTGTAATTTAAGACACAACAGACTTTATAAATCTACACTTTATGAGTCTAGCCCAATCTCAGAGAGTGTTTAGATCAGAGGTTATCTCTCAACTTGCAGTAGAAATACATAACACTACCACTAATAATTTCTTTATTGAGAAAACATAAAATTCCATGATGAATTGGCATTGTTATCTGTAATATACTGAAATGGCCATGCCATCCAGTGCAGAAACATGGTATAAATAACTTATTCCAGGGACCATCCAAAACCTGTCAAGACTCCACACTGACATGAACATCAGTCTGCTGCATCTTACCATCTGGCAGATGCTGGCATAGCGGGCCAGGACATTGGCGTTCTCAATGATGGCTAGTCTTGAGGGAGTGGTGGGGGTGATCTTCAGCACACAGCGCCACTTAGCAAAGTCAGCACCATCCTTCTTGTACTGGGCGCAGCGCTCATACAGTCCATCAAGACCTGTGAAAGAGTGAGAAGACCCATTGGATAAGTTGGACAAAGTTATAAGAAGATGTTGTTGACACATTGCTCAATTTGTGTCTACATCTGTTCTTCACTCACCCTGGGTGGTTGTCTCGCCGTTGGTTCCGGCCAGGGGGACAACACCTTTGTCGACCTTGATGCCCACCACCATGCCTCTGTCTTTGAGGTACTGGGTGAAGGGCTTGCCATCATCGGTCTTCTGGTACATGGTCTCATGGAAGAGGATGACTCCACCAATGCAAGGTTTGATGCGGTCATCAGCGGTGAAGAGGAGCTGGCGGTACAGTCTCCTGTTCTCCTCAGTGTTCTCAGCATTGATGCTCTGGAAGCGTTTGGCCACGCTGCCTAGAAGTTGTGGAGACATAAGATAGCTGAAAACTAGATCCATTTGTGGACAAGCACTGGTGTGCTTGTGTGAGTATTTGAAGACGTTTACAGAGAATTTCCAGCTTAGTTGGCATATACACTTGCCAGCTCTGTTGTGTGTTTTATAGACAGTTTATTGATAGTTTAATGAGTCAGTATAATACACCTTTCCTTTTTTAATTTTTTACCGGTAGATTCATCTGCGGCGAGGATTCCCTTGCCGGTAGCGACGATCTTATGAGCAATATCACTGAGCTCCTTCTTCTGCTCAGGAGTGAGGAAGGGGTATGCGTGAGGCATCCTGACTCTAGTCAGGCAGACGAGAAGGACAAAAAATAAGAACATAAGTTAAAATTTGGTTGGTTGACGGGGAAGACACAGGCCCATAGTTTTGCAGAAGCATGAGGGGAAAAGTTCAACTAAACCCTTGTGCTTGCGGTTTTTCTATTGAATGCATGGGAAACTAGCTGATGAAAGAGAGACATTTGGTTAACTGTGTGAAGGAAGTGGTGAAATAAGAACCCGACTCTCAGGTGGTTCTCTATCTTCTGTCAGTCATGTTGTGTCTCGACTGTGTGACTGCAGTTGTTGCAGCTATAACTGCTCCAGTACCATATGGCACTTTATGTGCTGGCGTTACACACTATTCCCCAGGCACAATATGCAGTGGCACAGAGGATCCAGTGTCAGAGAGCCCTCCACCCTCCTGTGCCCACACCCCCTCACGCATCTAACCACCCTTGAAAAAACATGACAAGCATGTGGATGACCTATTCCATTTCCTAGCCTCTTATCCCTGACCTTTCCCTTCCCCTTCACTGCCCCCTTCCCTCTCCATTCCTCCTCCTTGCTCTTCTACCCCACACGTCCTGTACACCCCTCCTTCATCCCCCCTGTCTGTGCCTCCACTATCAATAGGCTGAACTAAATATAAACAGTGTATTACAGCAAGGCGGTGAAACCTCTGTGGTTCAGCAAATATACATTACATAAAAGAGAAGTGCGTAACTTCACAATCCACTGTCTTATAAGTCACGCACTCTACAGGAAGATTACTAAACAGACAGCCTGGACACATTTAGACAGTTTAAAATAGGAGCTTGCTCAAACCACTGAGTCACTACTGACTGCTCAGACACAATGGAGCGGAAACTTTGCATTAGATAAAAGACTATGGTAGGAACACCCAGTGATGCACTGTGGACAGATGAGCTATACTACTTAGTAATGGCAGTTAGGGTTGTGTGTAACAACACTTAACTTTGTGTGAAAATATATGAATGTAATGCTGAGGGTAAATTGCCATGCATAGTGTAAACTAGAGTGCAAGTTGAGCAAATGTAATTCATTAGTGAATAGTAAAAACACTACCGTATTTCAGTCTGTTTTAATGTTTTAGAGGTAAGAGTGGGTGAAATGTGACACTCAAAACCACAAATGTGTTTCAGTAAAAAGAAAGGTCATGCACCTCATGCTTTATATGAACAAAATATTCAACAGGTAGCACAAAAAGCCAGTAAAAGTAATGCATTTATCTCAGAGTTGTCAATCATGCTTTCTGTTTCTTTTACCTTTGAGGTTAAGAGGAGAGCTGAGAGAAGAGAGAGGGAGGGAGAAGATCCTGCTTTCGTCTGCGACACCCCTTCAGCCCGCTAGCCCTTGTATTTATCCTCCCATTGTGACCCCTCACATTTCAGCTGTCCAGCTATAAAAAGAACAGGACGCAACCAGAGATGGCCCGTGACATTCAGAGAGACTGGGACTGGAGTAACATGATGGTGAGTGGCCAATGAAAGGGCAAAGAGTGTTTCGGTGAATGGCAGAGAAAGCAACATAGTGCAGGACTGTTAGGGTGGGAGGTATGGGTGGAAAACAATCAGAAATGTGCTATGAAGGTATTGTACAAATAGGTTGGCAGATGGGTAGAAAATATTATGCAGAAATATTTAATAAAGAAATTAGCCTCATTTCGATGTCCCTACATCCTCCTTAAACAAAATAGTGCGTCTTCCAATCATATCTCTGCACCCTGTACATCCTAGTTTATGGCAATTTTATGACTGTATGATACGATGACTTGCAGTTAGCCTAAAATTTGCTGCCTCTACTGAGCAGAGCATCTCATCACTTAGAGGTCATTCGAAAGGGTATGTGGAGGAAGATAACTTTAATGTATATGCAGTATGTAGTAATAGCACACACACGCACAGGCTTAGAGAGCATGTGACAACATTACTAACCTGCCCTTAGAAATCTAATCCAGACACAGCAACACAGTGCAGTGATCCTTGACTTTTTCATGACCTTTCTCGATCGCCTTTGCTCGGCAGGAAAAGGGTCAACTGGTGAGCCAGGTTGCACATGCACATAGTCAAGTTACAACACTTTATATCTGTTTAATTTTCTCACTCAGATAGGTCACACACTTAAAGGGATGTGACATTTTGCACCGTGGAAATGGCCAGAGAGCTGGCAAAAAAAGCATTAACTTTGTCAGTAGCAGTGAGCAGCAGCAGAATAAGTGGGTCACTTCCTGAACATCGGTTCTGGACTGATTAAGTGAACATGCAGAGTTGTGACAAGGACATAAAATTTGCAGGGTGAATGAAATAGAAATGTCTCATACAGTGAGAGAGCCATGAGCTTTTTATAAAGCAGGGCGCTCTTACTATTCATATGTAAATATACAAAATCTAGATTTTCCCTCAGTTTATTTTCCTTAGACCCTCCAAGGTATGTTAATTCAACTTAGAGTGCGTGTCTCTTGTGCCACACTACCAACATTTTTGGATGAGATGGGATGAGACAATGCAGAGGAAGTTAGACAAAAAGGAGAAATGGACCTTTTTATTTATAGGGGTTTTTTTTTAAACTAGAAGTCTGGGCATGGTGAAGTAGCTAATAGTCAACAAATCAGACAGTCCATTATATAAAATGTAACTTCCTCTCTCAGGAACAGCAGGATTGTTAGAAAAAAGGAACCATGTTAATATCTCAAGAAAATGAAAAAATACATTTGCATGGGCCATTCCCTTAATATATGTTACAGCTGAATGCCCTATAAACCCATATTTTCATCAGCATTGGTGTGTAAGAAACACTTCCTTTTTTAGGTATTCAGCACCACTCCTACCAATGAGATCTGTGGCTAAGGGTAAGGTTTTATTTAATCATTATTTGTTAGCCTTACATCAGTATCCACTACATCTGGGTACTAGCTTCTAAATTATTTTTTATCAGAAGTGTTTGAGTATGAATCTTGGGGAAATGAGGGCGTAAGTCATTGGATCAAAATTAAACAATATCTAGTGACAACATACATCACAGTATGCTCAGATAAAACAGAAAGTGTACCAATGTTATAACCCCTCCTACAAAAGAGTTCCTCAAACTAGCTGCCTTGGCTTTTAGTCATCTTATGATTTCTGCATTTTGCTTTCGACATCTCCCTCCTTCACAGTTTCAGTCGTAGAGATTGTTAACACGGTGCGAGAAAGCACAAAAGTTTTACATGAGCTCAGTGAATACATCCTTCCTAGTATTTTCCATGGGAGCATCACAATGAACTGGTTAATCACAACTACAGTATTCTTGTCAGGTAAGACAAATTTATACCTCCTGATTTTGTCTTCCATTGTCTCGATATTTGTGACAGCAATGAAAATATCCTGTCATTTCATTAAATGATTAAAAACTGTAATAACAGTACTTAGAAAAACAGTTAAGATGAACAATTCAGCATTTGTATTTAATTTTCTCTGAACCTACCTAAAAATAATTTGACCAACACAATCTTTGTTTTAATTGTAGAAACTGACCACTGAGTTATGGTCAATTAGTACTTTGATTTAGTGACCTATTTATTTAGTTTGTAACAAATAGGTCACACCTGCAAGAGTCTGGCAAATAATTACGGGAAAACAGTATAACATATCAAAAAACAATTAATTTACAATTTAGTCAGGGTCGGACAAATATGTTACCAAATTTGGTGAAAATTGGAGGAGGAACGTGCTACAAAAATGGGTGTGGTCTGTCCCAACTAACAAATAATGATTAAATAAAATCTTACCCTTAGCCACAGATCTCATTGGTAGGAGTGGTGCTGAATACCTAAAAAAGGAAGTGTTTTTTACACACCAATGCTGATGAAAATATGGGTTTATAGGGCATTCAGCTGTAACATATATTAAGGGAATGGCCCATGCAAATGTATTTTTTCATTTTCTTGAGATATTAACATGGTTCCTTTTTTCTAACAATCCTGCTGTTCCTGAGAGAGGAAGTTACATTTTATATAATGGACTGTAGGGCTGCAGGGGGGACCTAGAGGCATTGTACACTCTAGACAAGCTGACATTACTCGGCCCCTGAAAGTTAACATGATCGTTTTGCTAAACCCACACAACTTGTGAGACTAAGAGAGATACACAACACAGCACAGCCTTATCAGATAGTATGGGGCAGACTTCCTGTTAAATCTTATGCAACTGGTGGTTTAGTTTAGTTAAGTATATTAAGTGACTTACAGAAATGGTTGACATTACAAAACTGGCTACTGTAATCTAACAGAGGCTGTACTGGTGACAAGAAATAGCAGAACCTGAGGGTGTTGTTATCTTCGAATTAATTTTTATTTTTCCAGAGAAACAATAACAAACATGAGACATGATGTCATTGTGGAACACTTTGAAATACACATGATATGAAGCTCCATTAATATCCATCAGATGTGTTAGACCAGATCTATTAGAGGAAGTTAATTATTTTTAATAACACATTATCTAATCACACCACACTACCAAACGCACTAATCTACACTCTTTTGGCCATTTTTAGACAACTCCATGTTGTGGCCAAAAAAGGAAAATAGGAAGGCTTCATTTGTGCGACAACAATCAGTTTCAGGAAAAGCAAATATAGAAGGTAGAACTACATGTTGCCATGTAGAGTAGTATACTGTATCTTTACATTTAAGTTAGTCTCAGTATTTCCTAGATAAAACAGTATTATTTCTGCTATTAAAGAATGCAGGAAATATTACAGAGAATCAGAATCAAAAGTGAACACAAAGACAGATACTTACTAAAAATTTCATCTTGAACATGTTAATTAAAATAAATAATTGTTTAGGGCCACTTTGTTGAGAATAAGAAAATGTCTGACTTTGGCGCTCCCTAGTGGCATTATCACACCAGTTCACACCACTGTACCATACGAGTGCACTGAAACCAACACATACCTGATACATTTTAAATTTACATAAAGTGGCTTTAAATCTGAACAAATACATGGTTCTTTCTTCTTTCTTTCCTCAGTGTTAAAAGCTGGACTTTGTTTTAATATCGATCCTGTGGCTTGGCAGTCGTTAACTAATAATGCTGCAGGTTTTGGATACCAGGTGGTGCAGAGACAATCAGAGTAAGTCAAAACATGGATGTTGTGGAACATCTACAATAGAAAGTTTCAGTTTCAATGTATTTGAAGCTGTTATCAGAGTTTCAGGAGCAGGATCACACCTCAGTTATCACTCTTCAGGGATTTTCATAAATACCCTGCTAACCCTCTCTTCCCCTAACACTACAGTGTTCTACGCCCCTCCCCACACCCCTTTTCCATCTCTTATTTCTGACTCTCCAAAAGGGCCCTAGGGGCCGCTCGGGTGCCCCACTCTGCAACGACATCCCAGAAACAGATTCAAGCATAATACATACTCTTAGTTCCGTGAATAAATCATTGAAATGTATCTTGTTGATGGTGTGGTCCTTGATAGTGAATGAGGAATCAAGCTTGTAGTGTTTTTATATAAACAATGTGGGATTAATTTCAGACACACAGGCTCTTTCACATGTTTGTCTGGTTTCATATCCTCAGCTTGCTGGTCAGTGCTCCTCTTGCACCATATTCACAGAATGGAAGGGGGCAGATCTATAAGTGCACCACCACATCCTGCGACCAACTAGCTATTTCACGTAAGCAGCTTCTCATTTCTAAATGCTTCATATATACTATTAAACTAAACTGAAATCATAAATGCAATTTTTCTTATCATCATCATCATTTCTTTTTTTATTACCTTACAAGCATTAGGGGTTGGTTACCGAGTCCTAAGAGGAGTTTTTCCTGAATCCACCTGATTAATATGGTTTCAAGTTATTTCAAGGAAAGATACTAAGATAGCTTTAAAAGGTATTTCTTGTAAGAATCAGCCTTCATGACACGTTAACTTGCCAATAGGAGAAAAATACTATTCTACAATTTTGGTTTACCATATGTTAGGACTCAATAATGGACAAAACGACAAGTTAGAATGGAAATATTTAGTATTTAGTGCTGTTTAAAATTTAATCAAAGGCATATACATATGATCAAGGCTATGAGACACTGCTGTATAGTTTGGGAACAGTGAATATGAACTGGCTAATGCTGCTATAGTTAGTTAGTTAGATAGTTATCAGATCACAAGGGGAAGTATTTTATCAGTGGTTCCTGTGGTTTTTAGTTGTCACTGAGACTGTTGTTACTATCACAAAGTGTCTCAAATGACTGCTTTAATGTAACTGATGAACATTTTCAATCCAGTGCCAGGTTTTGCCGTCAACATGTCCCTTGGTTTGACCATGACAATTGATCCAACCACACAAAATACTATGGTGAGCTGGTAAACTGCAAAGATTCACAGTACATTGTTAATATCAATGCAGAGGTCAGAGAAATCCACTTTTCTTTCTACCAGCGAAATAATTTTTCTCACTGCTTCAAATTGTATCAATGCACAGAAAAGACAGAAACATATCTATTAATCAGGATTTAACTTTGTTTTTGTTCAGGCATGCGGTCCAACCATCCCAAAGGACTGCAAAAGTATCACCATGTACAGCGGTCTGTGCTTTCAGATAGACCGTTTGAATAGAGTTGGACCTCCTGTACCTTCATCTCTTGATGGTAAATATGTTGAGTATTTCATTATCCCGAAGGCAGAGTTAAAAACATAACAATAATAAAGTAAGTGGTGGAAGAGGTATACATCCATCCATGTGAAATAGAATGAAATGTACTCACTACCATGACTCAGAGATGCTATAAGCATGCATTATGTCTCACCCTGTGTTGCTGTTGTGGCTGTGTTACTTTTCATTGCTACTGCGGCAAAATTAATTGCCCATCAGGGACAAATAAAGGGTCTTGAACCATTGAACTCTTGATATTGATTCATCTTTTCTTTCTGACAGAGTGTCGGTCCGAAGCAGACATTGCATTTCTGTTGGATGGCTCAGGCAGTGTAAGTAGAGAAGATTTTGGGAAAATGAAGGATTTCGTGAAAAATCTGGTCAACTCATTCCAGGGAAAAGATACAAAGGTAGGATTGTGTTCACGCCTGCCAGTTAAACCATAGAATGACTCAGATAATTGAAAATGGACAAAACCTGCATTTTTGTAGCAATATTTATTTTAAAGAAATGCTCCCTTTCACAAACATAATTAATATTTCTGATTGACTAAAAAAAACAGCTAAATCTAGTATCTTACTCAAGATCCAGTGTGTAGGATTTGGAGATAAATTGAATTTAATATGCATAACTGTGTATGTTATTATTAGTGTATATCACCTGAGAATAATATGTTTTGGGTTTTTTTCCACCTTAGAATGAGCCTTATGTACAGAACCCGCCATGTTTCTACAGTAGCCACTGGCTGCACACACACACTCTGTGCCACACTGACTCTAGATAGTGTTTTTTGCACATTTTGCAGCCACTGTAGATTCTCCTTCACGTTTGGAAAGGGAGGGCAAAATGAGGGAGTCGCAATCTGCAACTACACTGCTAGATGCCACTAAAAGCTACACACTGCACCATTAATTCTCCCTACTGCGTAAATGACTAATCTTTACTGGACAATTTGACTGTTACGAATGAATGCATATTTACATTTTTTTCCTTTCTTTTTGCAGTTTGCCATTACCCAGTTTTCCTCTCAACCCCATGTCCATTATTACTTTAATACATTTGATATTCATAATTGGCGAAATCAAATTGATAGAATAAGCCAGTTAATGGGAGCAACTTTCACAGCTCGTGCCATCAAACATGTTGTGTAAGTGCTATTATGATGCTAATGTCATTAATAACATTAACATTACCTCATGCTGATTTTATGTACAGACAGGAAATGAACAATATGGTTTTCTTAGATTTAACTTGTGATATGATACCTAGCACCTATCTATTTTGAGTAGGCATGCCAAATTCAGTGCTCGACCCTATCATTGCTTGAGTCAGGTTGGGCCGTTTCCACTGATTCAAGTCTGCCTAACTCATATGTGTTAGACACAAAAAGATTACAAAATGACAGTGGTGAAGTGCGTAATCCTGACTAGCAATAGATGGAAACGGGCAGCCTTTTATAATTGGCAAATTTGTTGGATACAACCAATAATACCACTATCGCTATCCTTATCTTTAAATTGACATTTGTGTTTATAAATCCTGCAAAACCTACCTTACCTATTTGATTGTAACACAATGTATATATTTACAGAGTCATTTAAAATCAGTTACATAACATTATACAGAAAGAACAATGTTTAACAAGTACGGTACTCACAGTACTAAAAGTGCACCTCAATCTCTCACTGTGGTATTTATTGGTTCATCTGGAAAACTTTAAATTGGAGTCCTTTATTCTCTGGAGGAGCAATAAGACAGACATTGAATGCCATTGCTCATGGTTTATATCCATGCAGAGGCTTTTCGTTTTACTTTTGACTATGTCTTTTTGTTTATTTTTTGTAACGATAAAAGACATCACATTTTGTTAACACAGCAAATTGTACTAAAAGAATATGTATTGAAAGCAGATCTTTCTTTTGCAGCAATAACGTCTTCAACCCAAATGCAGGTTCCAGGTCAAATGTGAAGAAGGTGTTGATAGTCATTACAGATGGAGAATCTAATGACCGAAACGAGTTGAACAATGCAGCAAATTCAGCTCAAGGCAAAAACATTGTTCGGTTTGCTATTGGGGTAAGTTGTATCCATATATTTTTAATTTAATTACTCCCCCCCTTCTCTCTCTCTCTCTCTCTCTCTCTTTATGGATAGATAGATTGATAGACTGATTGAATGATTGATTTGAATTGTATATAATGGACAATAGCTTGACTGTAAAGTCAGATGGCTGTGAAGATTACTCTATATGCACAAAGCCCTCTTTTTAAATCCATATTATTTTGTGTGAAGGTTTTTGCAAAAATAGTAATGTTTTGTACATGGAGAACAAAACACTGTACAATTGTTTAACCAGACTGACAAGTGAAATGAGCAACAGTGGGCGGCTACAACAGTATTTTAAAAGTAGAGAAATTAAACATCAATATGACAGGTGGTTCCCTTTTTTACAGTATGTATTCAGTATATTTACAAGTATGTATGTATTTTTAAAAATGTAAAATGTTTGCAGTAGCTGTCTAAACTGTTGCATATTAAATAATCAGTTGGAAAGTCAGTAACTGGAATCAACATTTTACATTCAAATATTCAACCAATCCCTAGGTGGGGGGTGCATTTTCTAACAGCGAAGCAAAAAGGGAACTGCAAACCATTGCGTCTAATCCTCCAGCAAGCCATGTGTTTCAAGTGGAGAACTTTGATGCACTTGAACAAATAAGGCAGAATTTGCAGGACAAAATCTTCTCAATTGAAGGTACAGATGTAAACTCACCATAACAGCCTAAAATCATGTTTGCATTTTCAGTTTGAATTACCGTGAATATATAAGTAAAAAAAGAGTAAACAATGAATAGTTTCATGTTGTTTATTACAGTCTTATTTAAAGCATCCACTGTATAAAAGTATTTTTGGAACTGTGGAATTCAACTTACATGCAGACCAGTATCAAGGAAATTCTTATTATGTTGCTGTTACAGGATCTCAAACAGGTGGAGAGTCACTGAAAATGGAAATGTCTCAACAAGGATTCAGTGCAGCTTATGTGCCTGGGGTAATTAAAACCAGCAGAAATTCACTGGACAATGCAGTTGTAAAGACAAACACACATTGTGGCTAACAAGCACAAACAGTTACACACTTATATAGAATCTTCTTAAAATTTCTGTATAATTTGCAGGGATTTCTGATGGCTATTGTTGGCGCCAACCAATGGAAGGGAGGCTACCTGCAATACACAAGCGATGGCTCGAAGACCAGCTCTTTTGAGCCTGTAAATATGGAGCCTGACAGTTATCTGGGTATGAATATGAAAGTAATAAACTAACACATATAGATGTCATCATGTAAATGTGCAGCGTTACAGCAGTCTGTCCTGGATGAACCATCGTTCTTTCATTGTCTATCATGGGCGAACTTCAACCAGTAAGATCCGTCAGCAGAGGAGCAAAAACATATTTTCCACACAGGACGTTGATTGGTCCGAACCACTGTGGTTTGTTTATTGTAGTTTTGTGTTTTCCATTAGTTTTTTGATATTATAATTATATATATATATATTAAAATATATAATATTATAATAATTATATTATATTTTATAATAATATAATATTATAATAATTATAATATTCTTCTATAATATTAAATCATATTAAATAATTTAATTATAATATTATAATTTTATTAATATTTATTAATGTTATATTATTATTATAATTATAATATTATAATTATACAATATTATTATATTATAAAAGATTATGGCCAAGTGTTTAAAAAAGACATAAAGGAAAACGTAACATATAATCATAAAATACTAGAATTCGATGACATAACGTCTTCCAAAAATCTATTCTATGAATGAGAAATATTTTGAGCTACAGTCGAATTTCTAAATGACCACTATAAATTTCAATAATACTGGTCAAACATGACTTAAACATAATCAAATAATATTCATTAATTTACTAAATTTATTAAGATATGATTATTATTAATTTAATAAATACTATACCTAATTGTACAATAATTCCAGATCTTATAACCAGACCAAATATGACCAGACCCAAGGTTTATAAAGAGAACATAAGGCAAAACAACACTTTGACTCTCTTCTCCAAAACCTTAGCCAACTTTCTATTCTCTTTTTCTTCTCTTTTTCTTCTTCATGGTGTTTCGGGTCTGTCCCTCAGTCGGGTCCCCCTAGTGGGCCTGGCGAATTCCGTTGTGTGGAGGAGAATTTGCACCGTTTCTCTCTTGCAGTTGTTTTGTTTTTGTGTTTTTGAAATTTGCAACATTTTCTTTTGCATTTGTTTGTGGGTTTGTAAGTCTGCTTCGTTTTCTGTGATTGCAGCATTTTCTGTTGCTTTGTTTAACCAAAAAGAAACAAATACCATACCCACCATTGAGCCTGTTGGTAGATCTCATTTACTAATTTACTTTACATTTACATTAACATATGGGTCTGACTCTTGAATTTTAGGTTACTCCATGGCAGTTGCTAAAACGAACGGAGAACCGTTGATAATTGTTGGTGCTCCAAGATATCAACACAGAGGAATTGTGATGACCGTTTACAGAAACAGCTTGCGCCAAAAAATTGATCCCCATGAATGGCAGGTATGTGTTTACAATTAAGATGAATAAACGGTCCTGAAAGACAACATGAAGCATATATATTTTCTTGATAATTTACACAATATTTTCTTAATAAAAACGTTTTTTTTCTTCTTTGATGTAATTATTTGTATTGATTATTTGGTGCTTACACAGTTTCAGAGCGGTGAATATTTTGGTGCAGAGGTTTGTGCCATGGATGTAGATCTTGACACCAACACTGACCTGGTCCTCATATCTGCCCCTATGTACGTGGACAGTGATAGAGAGGGAAGAGTTTACGTTTGTGGCTTAACGTTAACTAATTTGGTAAAGGACCTTTTTTATCCAGTGTCATTAAATTAATCTATTTAATGACTGTGCAAACATTGACTCTCATCCTTATATTTATAACAGAATGTCGACTGTCACTTAGATTCTCCATCAATACTGAGAGGGGATGCATCCGACAAAGGAAGGTTTGGGTCTTCTCTTGCTGTACTTCCTGATCTAAACACAGATGGTTTCAATGATCTGGCCGTTGGAGCACCTCTGGAAAATGATGGTCAAGGCAGCATCTACATATTCCACGGCGAAGGAGGAAGAAGAATGAGTCTTGCTTACTCACAGGTGAGTGAGAAAAATAAGCAACAAAACAAAAAACAGATCCGGTATGTATGGCTTCATGTTTGTCAATGTTATTTAATATAAAACATTCAATTTTATGAATAAAATATTTCCATTTACATAGAGAATTGCAGGCTCTGAAGTCAAGTCAGGACTGAAGTTCTTCGGTATGTCGATCAGTAAGGCATCCTTTGACCATAGTAGGGACGGCCTACCTGACTTAGCGGTGGGTTCAAAGGGCACAGTTGTCTTACTCAGGTAAGTCCAAGATGCTCCTAACATACATATTACGTTCAAGTCTAATTCTACCATGAGGTATAACTATGTGTGCAGACCAAGAACTGTTCAATAAAGATTAGCTTTTCTATTGGATCACTGTTCATAAAGGGGTTTTCACTTATATTTTCCTGCTTTGTCCATTTACAGATCAAAGCCTATAGTAATGGTGAAAGCTCTGGTGTCATTCAACCCGAACCAAATCCCTACTCAAATCACAGACTGCACAACACCATTACAGAACAACGCTCAAATCTGCTTTGAAATGACCAGACACTCTACAGTAATAGAAGGTTCCTGATTTTCCTTTGTTCTTAAATATTTGTATGTCTTTACACTGATAACCTCTTAATACAACGCTATTTAATCTATTCCAGCTAAAGCAAAGATTAACTATACGTTAACGCTGGATGCCACTCGCAAGGCTCCAAACAACCGTGCGTACATCAGTGAGAAACAACGAGTGATGACTGGATCAATTGATCTTGATCTTCAACAGCAACAATGTGTTAGTGTGAAATTCTTTGTTGAGGTGAGTTTTTAGACATACACAGCAGAAATTTGGGTGTAACATCATATAAAACATGAGAAGAACCTTCTTAAACCCACCTAAATTTAAGGAGGAAACCCCAATGTCTCTTATTCTGAGAAATCCCATGTTTGTGTTAAAGAGTTCCAGTCCTCACAACCTTGACAAACAGTATCTCACAGTAGTGCCCTATTCTTGCAGGCTTGCCCGGAAGATGCTCTCAATTCACTTTACAATGAACTCAGATTCACCTTTGACGGTTTGCCTTCAACCAACAATCTCAGGCCAAGTCTTGCCCTGCAGGCTCAGACAACATCCATTCATCCTGTAAGTAATCTTGACTCTCATTTATTGGTCAGTCTAAATATTAACTGAACAATAAAGCCTATATAAATAAAGTCTTTGTGAACAAAAAACGCTTCACTTTTGCCACTGCTTTTTGTGAGTGGTTGCACATAATTGCCAATTTCACATTAGCTACTGTATGGAGCTCTGCAGTGCTATGAAATTGTATTCATTTGTGAGAGTAGGCAGTCAAACGTGTCTTTGTCAGATGTTTGCTGTTACTTAACCCCTCCGTAACCCTTCATACTCTCGTTCACAGTTAGGGTTTGAAATCAACTGCGGTGAAGACAGCAAATGTGTAGACAACCTGAAACTGGATTTCAACTTTACTAAGTGAGTTACAAAAGTGAAGCCTAACTTGGGTGTGTGGTCACATAGTCAAAGTGCAAAGAGTTTGCACACTCTAATTGATCAGTATGCTCTTATATTTCTATTCTTTCGGTGTTTTGATTCAGTACAGTTGAGTAAGAGTCTGATATTTCACGTATGCCTTTGTCAGTGCGAAATATTATAGTATCTGGCGTATAAAGTATTTGTGTACTGTACTTTTTTTATGACATTATTTTTTATTTTAACAAAAAAAAACTTTACAAACAGGCATTATCATTGTTAAACAGACGTAACAATAATTCCAAGCAATAAACATTAACAAGGAGAACATATATATATATATATCATATAATATAAGTCAAATAAACTTTAACAGGTTTAAATTAATATAAAGCAATATTTCAAGGGAGTCTTAAAGGTCCAATGTGTAACACTGAGGAGGATGTCTTGGTAGAAATATAAAAGGCCTATAATATTCAAAGGTATGTTTTCATTAGTGTACATTCACCTGAAAATAAAAATAAGGAGTACTATCTTCATCTTCTACACTCTGACATGTAGATTGGGTCTGCTATGTTGTTTTGGGATTTTTTTGGAGCCACTATAGTTTCTTTTTTTTAAGCTGGTTGAGTCAAGAGGTTTCAATGGGTTGCCGTCTGCAATCTCTTTCTGCTGGATGCCACGTCCTTGAAAGCACTCCTCTTTTCAGTTTTCTTAAGTATTGACATTTGTGTAAACATTGCAAACATCAGCATGTTTGCACGCAGAGCGGGTCGTCCACTAATCAGACGTTGATGGTTCGATACCCGGCTCCTCCTACCACATGTTGAAGTGTCCTTGAGCAAGATACTGAACCCCAAATTGCAAATTACCTTTGCCATCGAGGCACTGTATGAACATTTGTGAATGTACATTTACCATAAAGTGAAAGCATTGCTAGGCTTTAAGTCTTTCTCCTTCCTTATAATTTGTCAGATCGTTAGAGGTTAAAGTGGGCATTGATGAACTGTTGAATGTCACCGTCTCAGTGGAGAACACAGAAGAAAACTCCTACAACAGCCACGTCATCCTCACATATCCAGCTGGAATCTCCTTTAGGAAGTTTGCAAGTCTAAAGGTAAAGCATCGGGATCAAGTCTGTTTCATCTCTGGTCAACTGCTTTCTCATGTAATGATGTGTGCTTTTGTTTTCTGTTTTTTTATATATATTTTAATAAAAGGGAAGAATTGAGTGCAACTCCTTGGACAGTGAAGATGGCTCATCACGAGGAAAGACAGACTGCACTGTTGACAAGCCTATTTTCAAGAGCAATTCTAAGGTTTGTTCTTTGTACAGAAGGATCTGTTCTCACTGCTGCAGAGACAGTCCTGCAAAAAGAGCAGGTAATCTGATTTTTCTCCTTACTTTCACTTCAGGCTTCCTTTATTGTCTCCTATGGGATTGAGACCAATAGTCAACTTGACGAGAGGATTTTTGTCACTGCAAATGCTACCAGGTACTGGTCAGCTGTCCGCCTATAAGTGCGGAAATAAACAAGTATATACAGTATGTGTTCAATTTTCCTGTTGTGCAAATAATTTCACCTCTCTCTTAGCGGGAATCAGGAGCACTCTGTATCAAGCCAACTCTACAAAATGAAATGGATTGATGTGAAGTACAGCATTTTCGTTACAACTGAAAGGTTTGTGTTCTATATAAAGCAAAACTAAAACAGTAATAATTTGAAGTTGCCAATTTATTACCTAATATTTATGAAATATTTAATGTGTCTGTTCAGTTCCCTCAGCTACACCAATTTCACTTATGGAAAGAATGATTTGCAGAAACCAGTTCAACAATCAATTGTGGTAAAATATCATATCATAAGTCCAATAAAAGTTAATTAACTTGATTCAGACTTTACTTCAATGCTCAGTTAGTCTATTTAATACCAGACATCCTTGTCTTTTCCTACTTTTTTTTTAGGTTACAAATGATATCAGAGCACTGAATTTGACTGTGGTGATCAAGGTGCCAGTAAAGCTTGGTGACAAAGACATCTGGGTGGATTCAAGCAGTTTGCAGGTAACATGTGGGGACTTGTAGTTACTGTGTCCAAAAACGTCTCCAGTGTTTATTTAACTACAGCCTCAAGCATGGATGGATGGATGCGATTATATGAGCACAGCATCTTGTTCTCTGTGAAACTGACATGAATCTGCCCTATTTCAGTTTCCAGACTGCCAAGTAGGCAAAGATGAAGAACCTCGTGTCATGGATTTTGTTGCTGAGATACAGAAAAAAAAGTTAGTGGTAGGTATGCCTCTACCATCTACATACATTATGGTATTTAGTGTTCATACTTGTTACAAGCACTTTAAAAGAAATGTTTATGTGACACTGCATTACTTATTGCTGCAAACTCATTGTCTTTTGTAACTTTTTTTTGTTTGTCTTTTTTGTAACTGGTATATTTTCATTCTACTGGAGTTTGCAGGCACAATAACAGTTTCCTCTGCTTTTTGCCATTTAATCACCAACAGGATTGCTCTGTAGCCAGGTGCAGAGTGTTCAAGTGCACCAGGTTCATGGGAAGACTGGAGCAAAAAACTTACAAAATCTCAGCTAACCTTAGTTCTGGATGGATAGAGCAGGTAATTCATGTGCATGTATAATAGTCAACACAGTGATTGATGAGATTACATTTTATGCACATTTTAAGTGCAGCATTTGGAAGTATTTTGACTATATCTAAAATATCAGAAATAATTATCGAAATTAGAAAAGACTTAAAGATCAAATCAATAGCCTCATCACACCCCCCATTTTCCCTCAAACAGATTGGACTTAAATCCGCCAAATTCATCCTGACCAGCACAGCCAGTCTGGAGTACGACAGAAAACGGTTCATCTTCTATTCAACAGGGTCCAGTAACGAACCTCCTGTTCGCAAGGTGATTACACATTATTTTAACTTATTTTTGTGTTTTAAAAAAGAATGAATTTGATCCAGATTTTGTCATTTCATCTCTCAGATTGAGGCAGAGGTAGAAGTGTATCCTGAACACGACTTCACCAAAGAGATTGTCGGAGGATCCCTGGGAGGGTTGGCTCTACTGGCTTTACTCACTGCTGGCCTGTATAAGGTGAGACACTGTTCAGCTTTATGGAGGCATTTTACATTTTCAACTATTTGACAGTTATTTTCTCATCTGGTTTGGTTATTTTTTTTTTATTATGCATGTTTTTATACTTTGGTTTGTGTACTTTTAGGCTGGATTTTTCAAGAGTAAATACAAGGAGATGATCAATGAAGCAGGTAAAGGGGCTGATGGAGTCGAATCCACACCAGATGCACAAGCATAAAATCAGCTGATGTCCTACAGACCCATTTTCCAGATCCAGAACATTCATACTATTAGTCTGCTGATTGTAGCTGACTGCAAAACAACAGAACTGGTCCAACATCTACAGTGGTGCTGTTATCTCTAATTAGTTCATCCATATCTCTCAGAGTTGAAGAAATCTGAACTGGAAACGATTTAACATCCTGCCATTTAGAGGAATGTACTTAATTTGTATCCATTCCATCAAATTTACTCCCTTGCTCACTTGTTCACTGTTTCCTATGATAGAGGTTCCTAATTTGGGGGTTGGGACCCCAACAAGGGGTCACAAAATGACTTGAAGGTGTCACAAATTAGGAAGTAATAGTAGGTGCATAGTTTAGCCTCTTCAGTCCCCTAAATATTATTTAAAAAGTATGAGGAGGGGAAATCGAATTAACGCTCAGATGTGCACCCCATAAAAAAGTGCTCACAATCAGAACCACTGTCCTATGTTATGCTGACTTAATAATTTATTTCATAGTGAGCAGTAAATTGAGCATAAATTTCACTCAAAATGTGGACACTCAAATAAAATGGTCATGGAAAATATAGTGCTTTATATATAGAGAGGGAGTTTTCAAGAGGCCATTTTCTTTCTACAGTGAAACATTTCTGCATTTAAATGTCTGCAAACTGTGTATATTCATTTAGACCATTTGTTATATTGTGAAAAAAAGTTTATATACATAAATATATATATCAGCTATATTCAGGTTGTCGTCACATATTGTACTGTAAAACTGCTGAATTATAATGTATGTATGCTTGGGATGCTCACTTGCTAAAAACATATTTGATTCAACTTTTATTGACAATGTGAATTGCTTGCTTAAATGGTAAAATGTGCAATATCGGCATTCTGAATTTACATAGAGACAATAAAAAGAGATTTTATGCTTCATCAATATTTATTATATATATTTGATTAAATTTCATTTTACTTGTCTTAACAATTTACGAAGATTTAACTTCATACATAACTCATTATCACATCTTTATGTATGAAGACAACAGAGGTATAATGGAATACAGAATAAATGACATAAAGGTTGCCTTCATTTAACTGGATTCAGCAGAACACATTTTAAAAAAGACATTTCCCTGTACAATAAATTTCTAGAAAAACAGTAAAATACATTTTGTTATAAAAATATAAAGTTTGTTGAAAGTGCTGCATGAAGCAACGTTTTAACAGTTTGACCTGAGTAGCTTAGTGCATTTACAGAATGTAAATGTGGGCTTGAGAAGTGTGTTCAAAGTTGTCAGTTAATTTGACCTTTAAGTGCAATAATTATAACATTATCAAAAAAGAAACATTGAGGTAATGGACATAGCGAAAAAGAAGGAAAAAGAAATTGCAAAACTTGGTGCATTTCCAGCTGCAGCAGCTTCAGGAGTCGGCATGTCGCCAACTATCTCCTTCAAGAAAGACCCGAACCTTGAAGTTTTGGCAAAGACCTGAATGTCAGCGCGGACTGATTTACTTCCACTCATTACAACGGCCACCTGGAACCAAGATGACTCGGACTTGCATAGCAGAGGGCCGCCTTGATCCCCCTGCAAATATAAAAACACATGATTCATCATCACTGAGGTCCTGATACTCCCAATCTGAAAATGTCTGCCCTGATGACCAGACAGACAGATTTTAGAAACACTGATGGACAGAAAAACTTAATTTTACCTGTCGAAGATCCATGGAATAAGTGCAAATGTTCTCCAAATCAGAAGCGTTTTCACAACTTGCCACTTGAGTTTCAATGTCTCGAAGATGTGAGCCAGCTTTATCAGTGCCTTGGAAAATCACATTTCCTCTCTTCAATACACATGTTTGTGAATTACCGATCTACTTAAGATCTACTGAAATACACTTAGTGTCAAACACAAAAAGTTGATAAACCCATACCTCTGCTCTTGCTTCCCTTCTCCCAGCCGGCCACCCAGCATCTAGTTCCAATAGGGAATGATCTGGCATTGCTGATGTCCATGCACACAGGCTGAATATAATCTCTGTAGATGACTGGTTTATTCAGCTGCAGCAGGGCAATGTTGGAATCTGTGTTTTTGCTCACTGTAATGTTCACAAGGCCCAGAGACATCTCAAATTCTTCAGAACCGTTCACCATTCGCTGGCCGAGAAACACACTCCACTCACGGAAGTCTGGTTTGGGGCTGTCGGGAGGAAAAAGAACAGCATATTTCATTATCCATTTCTGAATGTCTTTATTGAATAATGAGCAAAACGTGCTTTTATACTTACGTCGAGAAGCACTGGCCAGATGTGAGGATAAAGTTGGCAGATATGAGGGTTCCTCCACAAGTGTAGACTCCATTTTTGTGGAGACTAACCATCCAGGGCCAACTTCCTTCAGGTACAACACCACTGTCACCTACAACACGACTGTTCATTGGAGCTTTGCCACAAATTGACCCTAAATGAGAACATTTGATTAATTAAAAGAAGCAGAAATGAATTACAATGATCACAATCCAAAAACAGTGCAAAAGTACACTTAAAGGTTTACTCACTTGCAGGACTGGTTACACTTTGGGTAGTAGAAGTTAGTCTTGTTGTTGGTCTTGTTGTTGGGCTAGGTGGTAGACCAGGACAGGTGTAGCTGCTGTCACCATCCAGCCCACTGATGAACTGACAAAGCCCTGGCTTATCAGAGTGATTGGGATCTATCCAGCTCGGTTTACACGACACGAGTCACGCGCAGCATCGGGAGCACACCAACCACACACCACAACAACATTACTCAACCAGACGGAGCGCACGCTTCGCTTCGGCTCACCCAACTCTGCCCTCCAGTCCGCCCTTCTACGACATGGAAGGAACACCGTCAGGCATTCAAAACAACACCTAAGACACTGACCCGAGAAGACTAAATAAAATGAACAAAGCCACCTACCACAGTCCTTGCCTCCTGCAGGGGAACCACAGCACAGACATGTTGCTGTACCGTGCCGACTCATGAGACAGTTACCACTTCTTCCGAGAACTGAACCCAAACTCTAAGATCAGAATGGCGAATCACACTAGGAGCGACAAGAAAGAGACAATTCACACATCCACCTTGCTCTCATAGACACACAGAATCATATGACAGCAGCAACCATCCTCCTCGATACAGCCATGACCCCAGCATCAGTACCATTGTTAACACACTGGTCACCTGCTGCCAACACCACCAGCTTGATATGCCTGTGAAATTGACTGTGAGAGACGGAGCAAGCAAGGTGTCGTCGTTGGTGTGAAACTTGTCATAGTTATGCAGAAGATTCGGGCTACTATTCTGACACTTCGTTGATTTTAGGCCCTGCAGTCGAACGGCCGAGTAAGAAACTGGGGCCATCCAGACGACTGTACGGAAGGAAAATAAAATGCACATTTAAAAAGATGTGACAGGA